ATGCCATAATATAAATATAGCCACAAACATTCCTATTCTCTCTCTCTCCCTCTCTCTCTCTCTCTCTAAAAGATGCAGAACAATGGCTTTACAAAATAGAAAAATAGAAAATATATGTATATATATATATATATAGATGTCTATTGAAATACGAAACAAAACAGAGCATGGAAAGAAGCTTGCATAGAATCCAAGTAGAAAAAGAGAAACCAGCAGCAGCTCAGGAATAGTGAAGAAATATTGATGTGTGTTGACAAGAGAGGTACACATTGTTGGGGTGTTTGGGAACCCAAAGTTGAGGCTAAAATAGCCTCAAATACAAAAAAAAACTAAATAGCCTCAAATAGTACCTTAAACTAATAGTTTATATTTATAAAAAAAAAAAACAAAAACCAAAGCAGCCGGCAGTGGGTAGAGGGTAGGCAGAAGGTAGGGCCAGCCTAGTCTCACAGGCTGAAATGACACTTTTGCCCCTATAGACCAATTTTGGAAAAAGTGAAGTTAGCGACAAATTTGTCATTTCAACCTTGAACATCATTTCAAACACATTTTTCAATGCAACAACTCAAATAAAAATACATCCTGGCAAGGATCTCAAAATTTTTCCCACAATTTTGGATTCTGGAATTTTTTCACCTAAATTGAAGCTGGAATTTACAATGTCACTGAACTTCGCATAAAATTCATCAAAGGTCTCACTATCTTTCATTGAAAGGTTTTCGAAACTAGATGTGAGCCTTTGAAGTTTTGAACGTTTCACAGAAGGAGTGCCCTCATGAATAGTTTGTAAGATATCCCAAGCCTCTTTTGCGACTTCACAATTACAAATACGACTAAATTCTTCAGGTGTGACAGCGCAAAAGAGAGAATTGATAGCTTTACTATTCCAGCTACTATTTTGGTAATCAGTTGTGTCCCACTTATCAATTGGTTTGGGGATTGTAACTCCATCAACGATAATTGTTGGTTCAGTCCACCCATTCATGACGGATTGCCAAACTTTTTCATCAATAGATTTTAAAAAAGATCTCATCCGAGCTTTCCAAAAAGAATAATTGGATCCGTCAAGTAGGGGTGGTCGAACCATAGAATTTCGTTCACGAATTGAATCTATTATCACAAATCAAACAAGATCTCGTTCTTAAAGATATAAGTTTTAAAAAAATAGAACGACCTGCTCTGATACCAATTGAAAAATCTAGAAATCTCCTAGATGTTAATTTGTGATTATGTATCAATTTAAAGCAGAATATAACAATCCCAATCAAACAATCAAGACAAAGAGACACAAGCAATTTTACGTGGAAAAACCACAATTGGACACCTCCAATTGTGATAAAAAAAACCACGGGCAACAGCCACAAGAACAATCCACTAAGAAGATTTAAAGGAATTACACAGGTATACTCTCAATTACCTAGCGAATCCACAACGCCTAATTGAACCAACCTCTATGTGCCTCTTTCAACCCCATCTTCACCTCGGAATTGTCTTTTCAAAGAGCCACTCCAGGATCCACCGAAGCTTCAGGCTCGAATTCTTCAGACTCCACCGAAGAACAACTCTCTCTTTTTTGTATAACAAACCAAACCTTTGATGTACTATCTTTAAACCATGAGTTGAATACTCAATAAAAACATCAAAGAAACTAGCAAAATATCTCCAGATATAAACCTTAAGATCCAAAAATAAGATCTGGAGAAGTTCCTCTAGTGTTGGGAGAAAACCAACTATTTATAGAAAACCAAAGCAATCCTAGTTTCAGAAGAAAACCAACTCCTTAACAAATCTGGAAATCTGGGATCGCGCGGTCCGCTCGAGCGTGGGTCTTCCCGCTCGAGCGGAGACTTCAAATTCTGTGATTTCATACAGGCTCCACGCTCGAGCGTCGGTTTTGATGCTCGAGCGTCGAATCACACCATCCTGTACTTTTTCAGGCATAGCAGATATACTGTGAGCTTGTAAACCCCGCTCGAGCGCCCTTTTCCCCGCTCGAGCGGGAAGGCCAAAACTGGAAAAATTGGAAAAATATAACATGATCGGACAGGCAACTTTGAATGCATTTTTGCATTTTGCTTCGGGCCGCGAGCTGACCGGGCAGCTCGACCCCCGTAATAATTAGCGAAGTGGCAAACTTGTATACATTGACATCACAAACTTCTCTGCAAAGCACGATTCGGGTTGGATTCGCCTCTAACAACTCGTAGCCTCACTGATTACAAAATTTGGGCATTTTTTTGGGTTTTCGAAACTATTGTATATGATATTGAGAACTTCAACAAATATTGAGATGTGTTGAAATTGAAATAGCTTGATTATATGCTATGATGTTGCAGGACATAGTTCACTTTCATTTTGTTAGTGGTGAAGCCTCATAAAGCTCTTGTTTCATGTAATTTATTAAGTAACTGACAACTTTCATTACAACTATGGAATGAAGAGAATCATGATATATATATATATATTAGTAGATGTGCACACTCACATGAGTGTACTTGAAATAAGCAGTATGGATATATAGCCTGTTATAGATCATTTATGAATATTTATAGAATGAAAGAGAAGCATAGTATAGATGTATTAGGGGATATAAAGATCCATTTCACATGGAGGAGAAAAAAAGGCCTCAAGACACCAATAAATGTGTTCCCTTTATATGTAGTATAAATGAATTTTGCAATGCACTGATAAATTTTGATATGGATTGGTAAAATTTTGATCGCAGTGACAAAGTTTCATACTCACCACCAATTTAATTTGAAAAAGTTTAAAGTTAAATTAAAATTATTATTTTTTATTTATATTTGTTAGCACTTGTTTACTACAAAAGATGAGGAAGCAAGAACACGAATGCTCAACAAAATAATGCCTGAAGCAATGAAAGCAAGATACCTTCTGTTTCCCATTCACCAAAATTTTAACTGGACAATACTTGTCCTTGACATTGAAGAAGCTTCATGGAAATTCTACAATTCGATGAGACCAAGGGGAGCACTGCCTAAAGATCCACACTTCAATGCTGCAAATGAAGTGGTAAAAATCTTTTCACTATGAAACTTACCATTAATCCAATACATAATATCTGATCCATGCTTAATTATACATCAAAAATTTATACATTAATATATTTATCATTCTTCAAATCCATGGTTTCTCATTAATATTTTCAACTGACTTTCTAATACAACAATTATACAAATGTATATGTTGCAGAGACAGATTATTGAAAAATACATAAAGCATGAGAACCCAACTCTCATTCACCCTGCTAAATTTGAACAGCAGACAAACAACGTCATCAACAGCCCACAGCAAGATGACACATCGTAAGTTTATAAATAACAAAACACTATTATTAAAAAAAAAAAGCAACAAAACCAAATTATAATATTTTGTTTTCAAAATGTTTTTGCAGGCTTGATTGCGGAATCCTTGTTTGCTACATCATAATGTAATATGCTTCCAATAAAAACATAATGCCTACTTTTACCAAGGAAGAATGCAATCAACTGAGAGCTGATATGTTAACTGTCTTCTTGACTGACTAATAAGCTGCTCAACGACAAATACCTGATCAAAACATTGATGACTTACCTCAGCAATAATCAACACATTTGGAATAGAAGAAAACAAACGGACAGTGTTACCTGTATTTTGATATGTTACAGTCTTACCTGTATTTTGATGATTTTGGTTCTTACTTTAATCCAATGAATATTACAATGCTTTGTTGTTACAATGTCAAAGTTATGGACAGTGCTTGGTTGTTACAATGTCAAAGTTATGGACAATGCTTGCTTGTTACAATCTCAAATTTGCTTCAATGAAACATTCAGTCTTTTGTAGCCATATCGTTACCAGACCTGGTTTTTCATATCAGTCTTGTTATCCAAATTTCATTCAAAAAATTGATTCTAATCTGAGTATTTGTGTTAAATTTAAAGGTTAATAACAGGTTTGGAGTCACTATATTGATAAGTTTATTTTTTATTGTGTTTTGTTTACCCTGATAAATTTATCACTGTTTCAACAAATTTATCACTGTTAACACTGATAAATTTACCAATGTTCAAACGAAAAAACCAGCGACTCTCTCTCCCTCTCTCATTCTTTTTCCCCAATTCAAGTAAACAAAACACTATAAAAAATAATAAAAAATTTACCTAATTGAAAATTAAAACACAAGCACTATTACATTGTCCAAATTGGAAATTAAAATACTGTTACAATTTGTAGATATTCCCAACTTTGAGAATGAATGTAAGAACATGCCATCTTTGGTGATTTCTGAATAATCAAAACCATTTGATACTTCAGTTAAACAACTCAAACATCCAAAGCTAGCTTCTGAGTGACCACAAAACAGTATGCAGACTAAGAACTTGTTGCTAAACCAAATAAACATGGTAGTTGATTTAAAAAAATTTGCTTTTTAAAGCAGTTAACACAACAGATATGCAATTATGTATTCTAGAGATTTGATCTACACCTTTGTATTGTGGAAATTTTTCCTGGGAAAACTAGATAACTCCATACAATGATAAATTTATCACTGTAGAAAAGAACATTTGCTTGGATATGACAGTGATAAATTTATCAACCACTGACATAAATGTAATAAACCATCAACTCTTCCCACACAATAAGTGACAAATTTATCATTCTTCAAAATAACAAAATTCAAGAACCACATTAATGGTACATTTATCATTTTTTCAAAAAAATAATCCATCAACTTGTCCAAACCAACCAGTGATAAATTTATCACTTTATAAAACACCAAAAAACAACAACTACATTTAACCCAAATCAAATAACATAAATATGTGAAACTTAATCCTATAAAAATATCAGCAAAAAATATAATTTCTGATCAACAAATTCCTCAATCATTCAATGCGAGTACCAAAATGATACATCTTTCAAAAAATACTCAATCATTCAATGCAAGTAACACCTCTCAACTCTCAAACAAAGTAATTCAATTAAAATCAATATAACTAAAGCAAAGCTTGTTTACATGTCTTCCGATTATGAGTTCCCATCTTTCCACACATACTGCATCTAATTCTCTTGATTTCACCCTTAGAAGGTATTCTCTCCGTTCTTGGACGTCCAGCTGGTCTCATACAAAGAGGAGGTAAAACAACGTCATCATCAACAACTACATTTGGCTTCCACATACTAGGAACTGGATAGATAGAATGTGAATAAGAATCACAATAACTACTAACACGGTAGTAATCATCAAGAAAGCAATTCAGATCCTTCCCACTTCTCTTTATAGCACAAAAACCATGTTTGCAAGGAAAAGAATCAAATTCCCACAATCGACAAGAACAACAATGTTTCCCAATATCAACCATAACTGAATGATCCAATTGGATTTCATAAATGTCATCGCTACATTTCTTAACTATCCATGCTTTTGTATCATTAAAAGCTTCTTCCAACTTTTTCTCTGCAAAAGGACAAACAATACGATTTCACTTATTCCCAACTTCTCTCCTTCTTGAAAATTGCTCCATTAGTTTCACCCGTATAGCATCAACAAGACTAGTTGAAAACAAATGGCGTTCATCCCTAATCCATGAATTAAAAGATTCCGCAACATTTGTGCACATTTCACCACACCTCTTGCCTTGAAAATAAGCGTTACACCAACACTCATTAGGCAAATCCTCAAGAAACCTCTCAACACTACGACCACAACGACCCTTAAATTCTTCAAATAGCTCATTAAACAACTCAACAGTAGGAGCATATGCACATCTACTAAAAAGAGTAAGCAAATACTCTTTTGATTCACGACTCTTCACTGACAAATAAGTCTTCAAGTTTGTCTTCAAATGCATTAGACAAAAAGAATGACAAGAAAACGGAAAGACCTCAGCTAAAGCTTTCAGCAAACCTCCATGTCGATCAGTAACAAACGCAATATCCCTCTCCGGAGTCAAAATACCTAATAACTTTGACAAGAACCAATGCCAACTGTCATAACTTTCACCATCAACAATCGCAAAACATAACGGATACAAACCTACAAACAAAATATATATATACAAGTTATCAGTAACAAATTAAAAAGATTACAAAAAGAAAATCAAAACACAAAGTATATAACATAGAGCACTAGCCATAAATAAATTTATCACTGTATAAATATAAAAATTTAACAAAAAGTATACAGCATAAATTTATCACTAATAGATTGACCATACTCAATTGTCAGCACTCTCCAGTAACAAAAATGATAGAATTATCATTATTTCAATAATAATAACACATAAACACAAAATATACCTTGGTTACCATCTTTCGCCGTAGCAGCCAATAAACAACCTTTGTGTCTTCCTTTCAAAAAAGTTCCATCAAGCATCAACACAGGCCTACAATACTTGAAACCATGAATACATGACTCAAAAGCGAAAAACAAGCATTTGAAATGTCTTCCTTTACTATCAATATCAAATTCCATATCCAAAACACTCCCCAGATTGCAAGCATTAGCAGCATCAACATACCAACGGAGATCGTCAAATGATGATGAATAGTCGCCAAAAACAAGACCCTTTGCTTTTTCAACACCCATCCAAGCTCGCCGATAAGAAACTTCTGTTCCATAATAGTCCTTGAAATCACAAAACACCTCACTAACCGATGTCAAAGCCTTGTTACGAATATCACTAGAAATTAGCCCACCAATCATACTTGAAGTCATCCTAGCATGTTTAATTGTACGAAAAGAAGATCCACAAGTATGAACATCATCAAATTGTTTAATAACAAAAGCTTTACTATAATTTTCCACTCTAGCATGCACGCTCCATAACCATCCCAAATCAGCCATTCTCTTACAATGAACAGTGATACGATCCTTATCATTCTTAACAAAATCAAAATTAAAACCGGAATGAATATAATACTTTGACAACGCATCTCGAAATTCAACAACTCCTTGAGCAAACCTTTGTCCCACTCCTTTCATACAATTAACCCACCCATCGAAGAGCAAAGGTTTCCGTTGATTTGAATAAAATGAAGGCAAAAATCAGTTTCACAAACAACACCACCACCACTACTACTACTACTAGCTTCACCATCACAAATCATATAACCTTCACCCAAAGAACAACACTTTACAAAAACATCAATACGATGAATATCACAAGAAAGTGCCAGTCCAACCATAACCTCCAAATCCTCTTCACTTTCTAGACCACAAGAAGAATGTCCAGCCATTGAATACGATATATTCAAAGAACTACCAACTAACTCACACCACTTTGCACACAATTTATATACTAAATCCTTGAAATTAAATCCATCATTATACTTGATAACCAATGTCACACCTCTAAACTTGCACATAAGAAACAAACAATTCTCCATCACTATAAATCCTACAACAAACAACAATAACATTTCAGAAAACAGCTCAAACACCCTAAAATAAAATCAAATACAGTGATAAAATTATCTCCTATTCCCATACTCACTCATAAATTTATCACTGTTGAAAAAGTTAATCCAACATCAACCCCAAAATACACAGTGATAAAATTATCACTGTATAAAATAACAAACCAACATCTGTGTTCAATCAACACAATTTCGTAACCAAAAAAATAAAAATCTAAAATTCAATCAACAAATACATATCTCAAAACTTTCAATATCATGATCAAAACACAAATTCAATCGCAACAGAAACAACAGAGTAACAACAATATCACCACAAAATCAAAATCACCAACTCAAACTAAAAAGAACCAAAACATTGAAATTGAAATCAAAATCAAACATACCAGTCGACCTAACTCCACAACACCACAAATCAGAAAATGTAGCTATACACCAAACGCGAAATCGCAAATAGAAAGAATCAGCAAACACGTAATCACAAATCACAAATTGCGAAGATACACCAAGCGCGAAATTAGAAATCACGAAGCTCCACAAATCGCGAAATAAAAAATCACGAAGCTCCACAAATCGCGAAGATACAGTAGCAAATTGTGAAGTTCCACAGAAATCCAAATCACAAACACAATATTTTGATGGAAAATCCAAACAGAAACGCGCCAGAACAGAGGAGGGGTAAAACGGTACAAAAAAAAAAGTCTCAGGACCTGTTGGTGCACAAGATCAAAAGTCAGGACTAAGAGGGGAATAAGTGAAAAACTCAGGACCGGCCAGTAAAAAACCCTAAAAATTACAGCATCATTAGTAGAGATTGACCTTTGATCAGGTGAGTGAAGTGCTCAATTCATGACATTCTCCTTACATACCTAAGTTCCCAAGACACTTTGGTTATGACAGACAAGTGGCATTTGGCAAGAGTCATGGGTTTCTTAAATTCTTTAAAAATATTTAGGTGGCGACTCTGAAATCTGGTCTTGTCTAATTGTACATTTTTGGCAATCGTTTTTTAAATATGAAGAAAAAAAATCATATTAAATGATATTTGAAGTGATGTGGGTGAATTTGAGTTTTTTTATTTTATTTTTGGACATACTTTGGGCTAAGTCAGACTTGAGAAATGACTTCAAGTGTTATTAGTATGACCCCCTCGAACCCGTCCAAACCAGGCCCATGTCCATTCTATACTGAATAACAAAAAGTAAAGGGTAAATTACACTTTACCCTCTTTATATTCTATTATTTTCTACTTTGACTCTTGAATTTATTTTCTTTTCTTTTATTTATATCTGACTTTAGCCCTTCACTTTTTAAATTTATCCTAATTTACTTCTAAAAATAATTTTTATTCAAAATTAAACGAAAAAAAAGGTTGCATTAGCTGACATGCTACTTTCAAAATTAATTGTTGACATCATTATAACTTTGAAAGCTTGTTTTAATCATTTAATTGAAAAAGGAACATTTGTTAATCCATAGAAACAACATCTACAAGGAAGTTGTGGTCGGAAGGTTCTATTTTGAAAAAACATGTGAGGCCGCGGGCAATCACTGTCGGGAACCGTGGCCAAGATTTCTGGAGCCGCTGGGACGCGATTACTTTGCTATTCCATGGACAGGCATAGCTGTCTTTGCTGCCATTTTCATCTTTGGCCTAACGATTGTGCAGACTGTTAGAAATTGGGCGCCCATGTGGCATGCCCCTTTTGAACCTTTTGAACCTTTTGAACCTGAACCTTTTGAACCTTATCCATATAAGTTTGAATTTAATTCAAAACTTATTTGGATAACCATTCAGGATATCTATATCTATCATATCAATAGATGTGGATAGATGGATAGATAGATATTGGTGGTTATATATCTAATTATATATTTTAGATAATATATTAATATATCAGATACGTATATCAGATACGTTATGTGGTTTTTACCCATAACCTTTTTCCAGACTCTCTCTCTAACTCTCTTCCATATGAGAACAATCCAGCCTCTGCACTGTGACTTGTGCGGGTGATACTCATATTGTAGTATCACTCCACTGCTGGGTTTGTTGTTCGCATTTTGGAAGCACGTGATTTACCCACGAGATTCTTCGCTAAAAGGTATGATTATGATATTTTAGCCGCTGCATTATAATACTTTGATTTACATTGGTATCAGAGCCAATATGGGTATTTTTGTGCTTATTTTTATGCATTAAAATATGTGTATATTTTTATATAAATATATATACATGATATATGCATGAATATTAATAAAGGAGGAAGATGTCCACTCTCATTAGATTAAGAGCACAAAATACCTTATTTTTATGTTCGTTAAATGTCATTTTTAATGCCATAAATGTATTTATTTTGGAAAACGGAGTCTAGCAATATCGAAATTAGACAAAAAAAACACCCTAAAAGGCGGCGCGTGGGCCTAACGCGCCATCTGACGCCGTCAGCAGCTTCCACGCGCTGCCACGCGGCTCACGCTCTCTCACTCGCTGAGACGCGCTTCCACATGCGCGCTGGCCACGTTTTCACGGGCGCGCCGGGCGCTAAGCCACGTGCTGAGCCGCGTGCTGCGCCGTGTGTTGAGCCGCGTGCTGAGCCACGCCGTTTTTCCTCCGCGACTTGGCTGGCTTGGCTGCTGGTATTAAGGTTCTGTTTGTTTTGTTTTAAATTCTAAATCGCGTTAAATGGTCATAATTAATTCGTTATAGCTTTGTTTTAAGCGTGGTTGGTATCGTTAGACTCAAAATTAAATTTTCTATCTTCTGTAAAATTTTTAAAATTTTATGAAAATAAAAAATGTTTTTCCTGAAATAATAATTCATTATATCTGCTTTAAAATGCATATGGTGTTGCATGATTAAGTTTCTAGGGCTGAATTTTTTATTGTAGACTATTGTTGTAGTTTACTATTTACTGGTATGGTTATTGCATTTTACCAGATTCTGGAATATTTATTTCTAATTTTATGTGTCTTTATTAGTTATTTAAAATTTCAAAAAATTCTAGAAATTTCCAGAAGTGATATACTTTCTGTTATGGCATAATTTGAATATTAAATACAGCATATTGTTATTTTTTACCTAGAGTTTCTAATATGTTGTAATTAGAATAGCATGATTAATTGTTATTTGTTTAAATTTCATTATTAATTGTGACATAACATGAGTTGGTTGTGAATCTATATTATGATGCTATTGTATGGAATTAGAATATTTTATCATGCTTTTAAACATGCCATAGTCAGTGGGAGGTTGTTCGATTGAGAGAAATCTTTGTAGATTTACTCCCGAAAACCAATATTTTGTGCATAAATTAAATTGAATTTTGGATAATTGTCACCTGTGGCGCAAGAGATGATTACGAGCATAGTGGATTTTCGATCTTGCGACTTGTGTAATATTGTCGCTATTTAATTTAGATTATTGCGGCGAAATTATATTATGCTAATCAAAATTAATCCCAATACGAATTTCTCTCTAAATTGACTTACACTACAACAAAAAGCACCAATGGCGACTAAAAAAATGAATTTCATCGCTGAAAGTTGCACAAATGGCGACTAAATCCATTTTAGTCGCCGAAAATGAAGCCTTTTGGCGACTAAAACCATTTAGTAGCCAAATGTATATGTATTGGCGACTAAAAATCAGTTTGGTCGCCTATTATATGGGTTTCAGCGACTAACACAATTTTCGTCGCCAAAAGTGATGGTTTTTGCCGACTAAAACAATTTAGTAGCCAAAGGTGCTAGTTTTGGTGACTAAAAAGCAGATTGGTCGCCGATGGTAGGTGTTTTGGCGACTAAAACGAGATTAGTCGCTGAAAGTGAAGTTTTTTGGCTACAAAAAAAAATTAGTAGCTAAAAACTGAGTATTGGCGACTAAAATTCAGTTTAGTAGCCAAAAGGGGATGTTTTTGGCGACTAAAAACAGGTTTAGTCGCCAAAAGGTGTGTTTTTAGGCGCAACATTTTTTTTTTGCGACTGCAAAATTAATTAGTAGCCTAAAATTGTAGAATTGGCGACTAAATAATGGATTTAGTCGCCAAAAGTAAGATAAATTTTTTTTTAATAAATAATTTATTTTTTACATAAATTATATTTGAATATATATAATTATATTTATATATATTCTGTTGTATTAATACTGGTGAAAGTAATATATAAATAATATAAGTTGCAATTATATTCTTGTGATGGTTGAGTGGCATAGTGGGGTGGCGTGTGTTGTTGTTAAGGTTTGGAGCTTGGAGGTTGCAGGTTCTCATGGTGGGAGCTGCTGAGGCACAGTGGGTATTTTTTTTTTTTTTTTGAAAAAAACTTTTGGCGACAAAATGCTATGGTCGCCAAAAAAGAGTGACATTGCCGACGAAAACTTTAGTCGCCAATTGTATAAATAATAAAAAAAAAAAACACTATTGGCGACTAAAACTTTAGTCGCTAAATGTATAATTTCACAAATGGAATCGACTATTGGCGACTAAAAATTTAGTTGCGTGAATGAAGTGACTTCAGTTTTGAGATTTTATGAAGTCTTGTTATAAATTGAAGTGGTTTTTATTATGAATCTTTTTGTTGTTTTTATTATAAACTAAATTAATTTTATTATAATTCAAATTAATAAAAATTATAAATTAAAATAGTGAAAAAAATTTGTGCATATGATATGCACCCTTTAAAAACAATGTATAGTGACACTTCCTTTTTAAAATCTAATATAATGATTCCTGTGCCTTTAAAAAAAATTCAACTGTTTATTAAATATATTAAAAACTTTAGTCGCCAATTTAAATAATAATAAAAAAAAAACACTATTGGCGACTAAAACTTTAGTCGCTAAATGTCTAATTTCACAAATGGAATCGACTATTGGCGACTAAAACTTTAGTCGCTGAAGACCTGTATATTGCCGACTAACTAATCTTTAGTCGCCAAAGGTATTGCCGACCATGTATTGGCGACCACAAAGGCGACTAAAATATTTAGTCGGGAAAAGTGAAAATTCTACATTTGGCGACTAAAAGAAGACTTTTGGCGACTAAAAATTTAGTCGCCAAAAGTGTTTTTTCTTGTAGTGTTAGCTTATGGAAGTTAATTTGGTTGACCTAGATTTAGTAGATATGTTCAAATGTGAACAATGTAACCATATTCTTTAGATGAGCAAAAGTCTTGGAGACTTTAGGTCAGACCTTAATTGAGCCAAAGTAAGGAAACATGACTCAAAGTTGCCCTAGTTTTTGTTGCCTTGTTTGGCACAACAAAATTTGATGTGTGCGCTATGGTTAGCAGCACACTACGTAGTTTTGATTGGCGAGTTTTGGAGTTATGAAATTAGTAAGCCCTCAATAGATCTGTATATGATCTTAACTATTGAGCTGCGCAGATTGACTTTGTAATTTGACTTGTAAATAATGTTACATCATTGGATGAAGTAACATTCAAGAGTCACGTTATCCAAAAAATGCGAGCTTTAATTAATTATTCGTTAAGTGTAAGATGAGTAGCCAGTATGTGACGCCCCGATTCTACACTATTGGTTGTAGTCAAGGAAGAATCACGAATGAGTCTTGTGGTCAATAATCAAGTAAGATCCCAGTTCACCGGAAGAGTCAAATTAGCCTCCCTTCTAAGTCCGGCTTTCTTAGACAACGCACTACCCTTTTGACAGATCTTAAAAGGCATTGACACAAGGTCTCATAAGCAACGATAAGGTTCATACATATACGTAGAATATAAATACATAACAACCACGAATATCCTTAATTCAAAAGCTTGTTCTGTTACATTACATCCCAAGAAAATTTAAATCTTCACATGAGTCTTACAAAACAACAAAAGGAAATTGCTAACTTTACTAAGATAGCCAAAAGTCTTCGAAGGTTTCAGGCTTTTCGTCTCCAGCTATAAGTTCCTTTTCGTCATCTTTCATGATACGCCGTGACCTTTGAATGCTCAGTAAACACACACACACCCTGCCCTTTTTTTCCTGTCCAATACACAATCACAAATATAACAACAAGTAGTAAAGCATGATACTCAAAATAGATAAACAAAGGGTTACAATTTAGATGTTAGTAAACTAGAAATCCCCCAAAGAGATTTCGTCCTCCCAACCACAAGAATCGGACTCGGATTATTCGGTATGCCCCATATTTTGCTGCTTTGTTGTAGAACTAACCTCGAATGCCTACCATTAGTTATATACCGCATAGCGCCAACCACAGGGCCTCAAAAGAGACGGTAATAATGGGCCTTGCCCAAATCCCTCCACACACCAAACCACCTAGGGTCCGAATACAACCGCTCCGTTCAAGGGTTCCGAAAGCCACTAGCGCAAGACTTTAACTTCCAAGTAGGGAACGCATCCCAACAATCCACACATCACACATTATCATCCTTTCATTACTCAAGTGCTCAAAAACCCAATACCATCCCAATTAAGTTTTCCATTGAGTTAAATGTTTTATATCAAGGTTAGACCAACTTAACAAGATAATAATATCCATATAAGCATACATCATTAAGATGAGGAAGATAAAGAACATAACCATAACACATATAATATCATGCCAAGATATGATTATAAGCTAATAAGCATTTTCATGAACTCAAGAGCATAAAACATCCATGCATAACAAAATTTCCAGATTCAATATCACATAAGGATTAGAATGAAAATGGCTATTCTAGAATTTTTACCGGACTCGGCCTCTCTACGATTTGTGGAGAATTTAATATAGTTTCCAGAACATGTTTCAAAAATGGGATAGCTTTTCTAAATTTTAAGTTATTTAGAAAACACTCCAGCACTGTCCAGATTCATCGACCGTTACGAAAATTAGATTTTCTTGCAAACCGCTCACTGTTTTTCAATGAAACCAATTTTAGTTGAAAGCTAACTTCTTAAGGAAGATTTTGACATAAAATAGAGGTCCAGAATAATTTTATACATTTTGCAAGAATTTCTTGAAAGTGGCTGCAAAAATAGATTCTAAGGTACAATACCCAAAACAAGAAGATTTATGGGAAAAGGGATCCACTAAGGGAAATTTTCATCTATTTTATGATGAAAACATGCTAACTAACATATATCAATGACACATCTGAAAACAATATTTAGAACCCTTAAGAACATGTATTTGAAAAAAGAAAATGAAGAGAAGGTTGTGTTGTGGCTTACTTGCTAAGCTTTGAACAAAATGGCCCTCTTCTCCCTTCCTCTTCCTCTCAAGAATTCTCTCTTGTTCTCCTTCCCCTCCTCTAGCCGAAAGTGTGTGTGTGTGAGTGTGATGCTTGTGTTTGCTATGCTAGGGAGTGGTGATATTTATAGGCAAATTTGGTGTAAAATGACATAGAAACCCACTAGTTGGAATTGAATGGACAAGCTAGAATTTACTTGGAGTTCAATGAATTAGGAGTGCTAAGGGAGCTTAACCTTGGGAAGTTCAATGAATTATATTTATATAGATCTCAATTAATTGATGGTACTTATATTATAAGGTACATGTACTAGTTTTGGGAAAATTTTGAATTTAAATAAAGAAGTGAGGGCTTGAAGTTAAATTCATGTATTGGATTAGAATTTAATTAAATTAGGCTAAGGAACCTAATCCAGCTAGGATATTCTGGTTTTGATAAAAAAAAAAATGCTAACCAACAAGATTCGAAATAATTCAAGTAACTAAGGGCTTTAAGAAAATAATTTAAACATTAGGGTTTTTAAAGTGAAAACATTTTTCAGGGGCTTCACAACCTATCCCCCTTAAAACAATTTCGTCCCCGAAATTCAACTACATACTGCCTTTGAAAAGTTTGAGGTAGTTTGCCTTCACCCAATCCTAGTGTTCCTAAGTAGATTCCTCGATTCCCCGATGACGCCATAACACTTTTACCATGAACCGTTTTGCCTCTAAGGTTCTTCTCTCGGCTATCTTGTATTGCTACCGGTCCTTCTTTAAATGTAACAACTTTGTCAAGACTGATTGCTTCCCATTTGAGGACGTGTGATGAGTCGACGATGCATTTTCTCAACATAGATACATGGAAGACGTCGTGTATCCCTACTAACTGCGGAGGTAGAGCTAGCCTATATGCTACTTCGCCCACTCTTTCCAATACCTCAAAAGGCCCAATATATCGTGGTGACAGCTTTCCCTTTTTCCCGAAACGTACGACTCCACGCCTAGGTTGCACCTTTAAGAACACGTGGCTGCCTACTTCAAACATCAATGGCCTTTTTCTCCTATTTGCATAATTCTTTTAACGGTCTTGAGCAGTCTTTAACCGTTGTCGGATCAATTTGACCTTCTCAGTAGTTTCTAGAACAAGTTCAGGTCTGATTAGATTTGTATCACCCATTCAGTCTAACAAATCGGTGATCTACAAGGTCATCCATATAATGCTTCAAAGGGCGCCATACCGATGCTAGCTTGAAAGCTGTGGTTATAGGCAAATTCAATTAGGGGTAGGTGTCGTTCCCAACTTTCTTGAAAATCCATTGCGCAAGCTCTCAACATATCTTCGAGTGTCTGGATGGTGCGTTCAGATTGTCCATCTATTTGCGGGTGAAAGGCGGTGCTAAAACACAACTTCGTACCAAGAGCTTCCTACAGGCTTCCCCAAAATCGAGAGGTGAACCGTGGATCACGATCTGACACAATAGACACCGGAATTCCATGTAACCGAATGATCTCCTCGATGTAAAGCCTACACATAGACTCTAAAGTGTCGGTCATCTTATAGGGTAAGAAATGTGTTGACTTGGTGAGGTGATCCACTATTACCCAAATAGCATCGCGTCCTTTAGGTGACTTAGGTAACCCTGTCACAAAATCCATCATCACAAACTCCCAGTTCCATTCGGCTATTGATAGAGGTTGCAACATTCCCTCTGGTTTCAGATGCTCTGCCTTCACTTGTTGGCAAGTCAGACATTTCACTACAAATTTAGCCACTTCCTTCTTCATTCCATTCCACCAATACTGCCTTTTCAAATCTTGGTACATTTTAGTCCCTCCTGGATGTACCGCAAATGCAGAATGATGACTTTCCTTAAGTACCTTTTCTCTAAGCAGCTCGTCACTTGGTACAAACAGTCTACCCTGGTATCTTAAACTCCCATCAGGGTGAATTACCCAATTGAGCATGGGGTCTCCTGATTCCTGACGTCCCTTGACACAGGCTACCTCTTGATCGTCCTTCTGGGCCTCCATGATCTCATTCATCAACTTAGGCATCACCTTCTGTGCACTAAGATATGCTTTTGTATCTTGAGATTCTACTTGGATCCTGAATTCATTGAGTGTCTTAGCCATATCCCATTCTTTGACGGAGATCTTAGCCATCATCCCTCTGCTCTTGCGACTGAGAGCATCTGCTACTACATTGGCTTTACTGGGATGATATGAGAGAGTGAACTGGAAATCCTCAAGATACTCCACCCATCGCCTCTGTCTCAAGTTAAGGTCCTTCTGTGTAAACAGGTACTTCAAACTCTTGTGATCTATGAAAATCCCAAATTGTTCCCCATATAGGTAATGTTGTCATTGCTTTAGGGCAAAAACTACGGCCGCTAACTCCAAGTCATGTGTGGGGTAGTTGCACTCATGTGGTTTCAACTGCCTGGATCCATACGCGATTACCTTTCCATTTTGCATGAGCACACAACCTAATCCTTCTTCAGACGCATCGCAATACACAATATACCCCACTTCTCGTTCTGGGATGGTTAAAATTGGCGCACTAGTTAACCTCTTCTTTAGCTCTTGGAAAGATTTTTTGCAAGCTTCGTCCCACTCATACTTTACTCCTTTTTGCATCAAACGAGTCATTGGTTTAGCTAATTTGGAAAAAACTTGGGTGAACCTCTGGTAATAACCGGCCAATCCTAAGAAACTACGAATTTCTGACATGATTTTCGGTTGTCTCCAATCTAATACTGCCTCCACCTTGGTTAGATCCACCGCAATCCCATTCTCCGATACTACATGCCCTAAGAATTTCACTTCATTCAACCAAAACTCACATTTGCTTGCCTTGCCATATAACCGACTATCCCTAAGAATTTGAAGGACAATCCTTAAATGTTGCTCATGCTCTTCTTCAGACCTTGAATATACCAAGATGTCATCAATGAAAACTACTACAAACTGGTCAAGATATGGTCTAAAAATCTTATTCATTAGGTTCATGAATACTGCCAGTGCATTGGTTAGTCTGAAGGGCACTACTACAAACTCATAGTGGCCATATCTAGTACGAAAGGCAGTTTTTGGTATATCCTCCTCCTTGACTCGTAGTTAATGGTAACCTGACTTGAGATCGATCTTTGAATAACACCTTGAGCCTCTAAGTTGATCAAAAAGGTCATCAATCCTTGGGAGTGGGTATCAGTTTTTAATCGTGACTCGATTGAGTTGACAATAATCAATGCATAGCCTCAACGACCCATCCTTCTTTTTAGCAAACAACACGGGTGCTCCCCATGGTGAAGTACTTGGCCTAATGAATCCTTTCTCAAGCAACTCCTGTAGTTGTGCCTTTAATTCTCGTAGTTCCGCTGGTGCCATGCGATACGGGGCCATGGATATTGGGGTAGTTCCAGGTTGTAGCTCAACACTAAAGTCTACCTCTCGGGTTGGTGGCAATCCCAGTAATTCCGTAGGAAATACTCGCATATTACGTGTGGAAGTTCTAATTTTTCCTGGCTTTCCTTATTTAAAATCAGACTTGCTATCCTACCCGTAAGTAGATCGTGCCATTGCGTCCTACATTTCGTTGAAGTCATGGTGTCTGGTCTATCCCCCTTAAATAGTAAAATCATTCCGTTGGATGGGTAAGTCACCTCCTTCTTTTGGTAACTATCGATAATTGCTAAGGTACGAGTAACGAATCTATTTTTAAGATGAGGTCGGAGTAGGGTATCTTCATGACTCAGGATTTGAAAATTAGTCGTACAAACATTTCCTAATAACATCTTCCCTAAGTTAGTCATTAATCATATCCATCCATTATTGTTTATGCCTGACATAGGGTGCTAATGTGGTCTGGTTTCTAGTGTCCTTTGGTCCTTTTCCTCTTAAATAGTCATCTTGACTTCTTTTCTTATAATTCTTTCCCCTTTCTATTTTAGAGTATGGTGTTGTATCCTTCCGATTGCTCTTTTTTTTCCCTCATGAAGTTGGTTTACTTCCCGCAAGCTCCAAATCCTCTTGGATTCTACCTCCTCTCATTCTTAAGTCAATGTTGTGCCAACTATTTCCCCAAAGATGGCAAGACTCGCCTAGAATTTGATTGTTAATAAGGTTCAGTATTTTTGGTCACGGTTACTAGTCCATTCTTAAGGTTTCAATTTCCTGGTACCGCATTTCTATTGTTGCTTGCAAGCTCATGTTATTACTTGTCTCGAAGTGTGGTCCACCATTTGTTTTCCTTTGAATGGGGTGAGGCGTAAGTCAAATTCTAACTACAGAGGCAACTCTTTATGGGTAAGCAATTAATCTTAAGTTAGAGTTTAATCATCCTAGGGGTTCACACAACACAACTTCATGTATACAATAATAATAATTACAAGATTCTTAAAATTGGTTTGAAGTGGAGACGAAGAATACGAAGCAGTTATGGTGATAACATCAGGATTAACTGAAATATGGATGAATGGTATGATGTTATAGTTTCGAACTTCAATGTGATCAAGGCTATAGATGTAGTGACTAAACTAGATATTTAACTTGAAACTGTGTTGGCCATCCGCGTTTCAAACTGAATATCTAAGATTCATCATCGAGAAAAGAAAATGAAATTATTTACAAGAAGCCTTGGGCTAAATAAAATAATCAAGGGTCAAAGGAGGTCAAATTTACAAATAGTAGTATATAAAACAGGACTAGATGGACAAGACTTAATCTTGGAAAATGATGACATTGAATAAAGGTTACGAATACAAGGTGAGGGTACGACAATCAATAGAAGACGCGTAGAACTAATAGTACCCCCTACTGCGCGATGTGAGGCCGCACTCAAAGTTAAAACCATTTCACGTTCCTGAAGTAGGTCCTCATGAGTTGATGTTGGTGTGCTCGAAACTCAAAGAAATTCCCTAAGATAGGTCAAGAAAGGTTCTATTTCTGTGTCTTTTAGTTGATAGAATAGGCAGTGTAATAATATAACATAGTCTGGGCAAGGTAGTCTCTAACCGCAGGTCGAAACGCGTGGGTAAGGGTTGAACCTAGGCTCTGATACCAAATTGTGACCCCCCGATTCTACACTATTGGTTATAGTCAAGGAAGAATCACGAATGAGTCCTGTGGTCAATAACCAAGTAAAATCCCAGTTCGCCGGAAGAGTCAAATCAGCCTCCCTTCTATGTCCGGCTTTCTTAGGTAGCGCACTACCCTTTTGACAGATCTTAAAAGGCATTGACACAAGGTCTCATAAGCAATGATAAGGTTCATACATATACGTAGAATATAAATACATAACAGCCACGAATATCCTTAATTCAAAAGCTTGTTCTGTTACATTACATCCCAAGAAAATTTAAATCTTCATATGAGTCTTACAAAACAACAAAAGGAAATTGCTAACTTTACTAAGATAGCCAAAAGTCTTCGAAGGTTTCAGGCTCTTCGTCTCCAGCTATAAGTTCCTCTTCGTCACCTGGCATGATACGCCGTGAGCTTTGAATGCCCAGTAAACACACACACACCCTATCATTTTTTTCCAGTCCAATACACAATCTCAAACATAACAACAAGTAGTAAAGCATGATACTCAAAATAGATAAACAAAGGGTTACAATTTAGACGTTAGTAAACTAGAAATCCCCCAAAGTGATTTTGTCCTCCCAACCACAAGAATCGGATTCGGATTATTCGGTATGCCCCCTCTTTTGTTGCTTTGTTGTAGAACTAATCTCGGATGCCTACCATCGGTTATATACCACGTAGCGCCAACCACAGGGCCTCAAAAGAGATGGTAATAATGGGCCTTGCCCAAATCCCTCCACACACCAAACCACCTAGGGTCCGAATACAACAGCTCCGTTCAAGGGTTCCAAAAGCCACTAGCGCAAGACTTTAACTTCCAAGTCGGGAACACATCCCAACAATCCACATATGACACATTATCATCCTTTCAATACTTAAGTGCTCGAAAACCCAATACCATCCCAATTAAGTTTTCCGTTGAGTTAAATGTTTTAAATCTTTGTAAAAACAATGATGTTTTGATCCTATCCCTCTAAGCTATTGGTGCAAATTTGGTAAATGTCATGGAAGAAGATAAAATAGAAAATAATTAGGATTGTTTCAAGGTACGTTATAATGTTATTTTCCTTAAAACGATATTCGCCCTCACCAATTATGTCAAATATGATGTGCACCGGGTTATCTACGAATCACCCTCTAGGATACAATGAAGCACAATCTAAAGACTGATGTCTGACTGCGTTATGTACAAATGAAATAAGATCCTAAATACCTTTGGATTTTCTAATCCACTAAACAGAAGAGGAAAATAACTATATGAATTCTTAGAGAGAAAATCCATGAAATTCATATCCCCAATTGCCAACCCATTCTGACTTTATCTAGGTATGGGTTTTGTCATTTGGACTAAGGGTTGTGTGCTTTAGATTCAAAAGTGACATCTTTTTGTTTAAACTCACTTGTCACACCCTTTGGTTCAAACTCAAAAGTTATAGAATGCTTATTAGGATACTTATTTTTGAAGGTTTTTTCTATTCACTTTTACTAACCATGAAATATATTTTAAGATCACTGGCAATAATAACTTATATGGCCAAGCTACATTTATATTGTCAGAGATAATATGTAAAGATATTAATAGAAGAGAATTTTGATCATTTATTTACCTTCTCATACATTACCATTGTATTAATTTGATGCATCTCATCAGTGATTTTGGTTTTCAATGTAATGTTGCAAATCATATAATAAACAAAATATAGTAAAAAAGAAATGTGATTATTATTATTCTTTTGTTTTAAAATTTAAAAAAAAATACAAAAAAAAAATCAATCTTTTATTTATTCGTAAACAACCACAGTGCAGCCATCTGGTGAACCTCTTATGGTATGGGGTTTACTACAAATGCAGTAAAAACCTCATGTAAAGTCATACATACAATTACAACAATCTGTCCACCATCTTTGTTTTTCATTCAATTGTTGGGAAAGCTCCTTGTTGAGGTGAAGAAGAAGATCTCCATAATCACCTATTCAATAATTTGACAGTCAATTGATTCTTGGGCAGGAAATGCAGGTATCAAAGCCATGATTGAGGGCCTTAATATGTTCTTCTGCCTCACTGGGATTGAATCTTCA